AGAGAGAGAGAGAGTACATGTAACGATCCGCGTGGAAATGCGAGGTACACAAACAGGCACCGGGAAGGCGGATTTATTCCCGGCAATGTTTGCAATTATTTCGCAATTACGAATGCAGCGGAACGGCGACGGTGGCCAACATGGTGAAAATAAATTGCAAAATAACTAACAGTCTGCCACGAGTCGCGTTATATATCGAAATGAATTGATTAATAAAACATGTCAACAATATCGGCGGCGACGACGCCGATAAAAGATTGATTAAACACAGACGCGGTAAACTGAGACTGGAAAAAGCCGGCGAATAAATCACACGTGAATAACCGCCAATATTGCGAATAAATTTCTGTATTTTCAACGTGCAAAATGATTATGTGTGACGTAGATGCTTCAAAATTTGATAAAACTGTTTCCCCCCCCTCCCCCCTTTCGCTCCCTCGCAAGTCTTACGGGCGGATGTTTGCGATTTGGAATCCATCCCTGCGTGTAACAGCGACAATGTTCATAATCGACGATCCGACGAGATCATTCCGCAATTATGGATTCATCGAGACGGAACGCAGAAGGAGGAGGTGTAGGACGAGCAGACGGAGGAGGGAGAGGGAGGGACAACACGACGGAAATAAATCTCCGCGTGATTGATCGCCCGCCATGAATCGCGCGCGCGCCGAGCGATATTAATGCACTATCAGTCGTGACGGGCTTGCGCGCGGATGGCTCGCGTGTACCGCGCGTGTAGCTTTGACGACTCTGTCGCTCGTCGCCTCTGACCGATATTTATATGCGCTTGTTTTTTTTCGCAGTGTGAACCGAGGGTTACGGGCGGCAAAAAACAACGAATCGGTAGATTCCGGTTGAAATTTCCCGCGTCAGGATACAATCGTGTGTTTTCTACCGCACACGATGCTTTTTCTGTGTCCTTTTTTTCTTTACCTATTTGTTCCATAGGCGCCCGCAGAAATTTGTCTAGGTAGGGGCAAGTCTGAAGTCCTCGAGACTATGTTTACACATAATATTTTGTTATAATAATATGGCTATGTTTACACATAATATTTTGTTATAATAAAAAAAACAGTGAGAAACCTATGTAGCTCAAGATTCATATTATTTAAATTATAAAAATTTTATTATTTTTCATTTGAGGATCGAGCAATGTAATATTTCATTAAAAAATTCAAAGAGTCATATTCCGAGGGGGGGGGGGGAGAGCGAATGCCCCTTCTTGCCCCCCCTTGCGGGCGCCTATGATTTGTTCTCTCGCTTTTCTTTATGTCGACGAGTCCCGGAATATGGAGTTCGACAGCCGGCACTGTCATAAAATCTGGCTTAACGGTGGCAACGTGGAGAACGAGTTGGTCAATCGGTTCGTAAAGTCACTGATGCTTTATTTAAAGCTGGATTTGCGGAAAATTAAAGTATAATTACAAACAAATGCTATGATTTTTCTCCTGTTTTTGTAAAAAATAAAATTCACATAAAAGGTAGATTTCTCATGGATAATAATTGAAGAAAAAATGAACTCTTATTGCACGATAATGAAATCAATTGTTATTACCAGCAGAAAAATATATGTCTGACTACATCCTATTTATTCTACTGTTAAATATGACTATGTGATTGCAACTTTTATTTTCCTCCAACGTAAAAATTGCGCTCGTGTAGAAACATCAAGAGATGAGGATCAGGTACCAATATACGAAGAAATATTCGAAGGAACGTTCGACGTTTGCTTTTACAAAAACATAAAACACAGTTTTGTCCGTGAGAGAGTTTGCGTTGTAATCAAGTCGCATTGGCGAAACTACTCACGCTACGTTGCTTAAGAATTCACAATACCGATCCATGGGAATCGATTTCCAATTGGATGTCAGGCAAGCCTTCATCCGCGATCCGATCGCGATTGCCCCGACCACGGCGCACATTGTTTCGCAATCAAAGGGGCATTGTTTCCAGTGTCGCGAGAGCTCGTTGACATCGATCAACGCCTCTGCTGTCAACATTCGAGCCCGAGGAAATATATATAATTACCGGAGGAGCAAGATTTTATCGGTTTTACGATCCTCGAGTTTAATTTGTTGGAACTACTTCGCACTCTAACCACTTTAAACTACTCAAAAGTTAACGGAGAACCGTTATTTTTCATCAAATGTTAAAAATATTGCTGGAAGTAAAAATATCCGTCGCGACGAAGGAGACATTCGAGTCTTCCGCGATGTTAGGAAACAAAGTAGAAAAAAAAGAATGATACAAACAATTCGACGCTTTTTCAGCGAGTCTATCTATCTAACTGACTACATTTCCTCTCACGAAGAGCCTTCGAATGTCGTAATCGGACACCTTGATGGATCAAAGCCGCGGCAACGTCGTTAAAGGAGCCAGTCGTTCTCTCATCGCTTCTGCTTCCCCTTCCTTGATTGATGGTATTTCTCTAGCCGTCAGCGCCTGCTGAAAAAATGTTCAAAGGGAGAATGCGAAGTAGTCTTACCTCTCCTGAGGCGACCGCTTCGCCCGGAATGAAGAGTTCCGGGTAAACGTTGTCCAGGTACCACTTGAACGACTTGCATCCCAGTTTCTTTCTAAGAGTCTTCCGCTCCGATACGTCGCCGTAGTTTCCCTACAAAAGCGATCAGAATCACATTTTAAAATAAGGATAAAAACCGTAGAACTGTGGAAAAGCGTGTAAAAACCCTATAAATATACCGTAAAAATAAAGAAGATAAAGAAATTTGCATTTATATAATTATCGATCGAAACAAATGAGAATAAAATTAAATTATAATTTATAGAATTTTTGCATTTCTTTTGCTAAAAGTGTTTAAAATTAAATTATGCGGAACAAGAGAATTTGATGAAAAAATTGCATTTATGATAACAATTGTTTGGTTCAATAGAACGGGCTATCTAGAAACTGTGTCCAGCCCAATCGTTGATATTACTACTGCGATTGTTTGCTCATAAAGACTGAGATATGAAAGCAGCGATTTATCTCATTATTTTATGAAGCCATCCATGAAGACGACATTCTCGATAGATTCGATCATTACGTAGAGCGGCGTGCTTACGGAAGCGATTTATTTTCTACGCTTCGATTTATCTCGTCGATTGGATCTCGACAGGAGAGCCGGGGCGGACAAGCATCAAGGATAAATGACAGATCGTTATAGAGAGGGGGGAGGAAAGAAACGTCCTTCAGAGGAGCGAGGACATGCGCGCGAGCCTTAAGAGCACTCGGCGCGTTTATGGCCCTTTTTTACGACGAGTCCTGGTCTACGATCCTCTCCATCATCGGCCACCTTTATCGTTATCCTTCATCCCGTTCTTACTAACCCGCTCGGTCAATGTTTACGAGCAACGTGGATTAAAGAGATATAGTCAAAGCTTTATCAACGTGTCATAACTTAGAGCAAGATCTTTAGTTCATAGCCCGAGATAAAGTATTATTAATTATTTGCTCTTTCGCAAAGAGAAAGAATGAGCGGTGCACTATAATATGTCTTTAAGCATAAATTTTTCCTTACATTCGTTTTTTTACGTTTCAAAGATTTCGCCGCGTTTATTTTGTTCGCATTTTTTTATTTAATTCTTAATACGTCAATATTTTAATTTATTTTTCACTCTAACTGTGATTCTTATTCTCATTAATTCGCAAAAAGACTTGAACTTGTTTTGTTTCTCCGAGTCTCCAGTATTGATTTCCAGAGACAGCGTCATTTTAATTGTCCCCTCGCTGCACTGCCGCACAGCGGAGGAGTCTTATACAGCGGGAAGGTTATGCACGCGACGATGCACAAGTACTCACCTTGTCGTGACCTATCCTCTGATAGTAGTACTTGGCGTACTCGTCCAGCCACACTTCGCTCAGCCTTATGCTGTTCCTCTTGAGCACGTTCACGCCGCTGCGCCACTTGTAAGGCGAACGTTTCCTGAAGATGTGACCCACGTGCGAGCACGGCACGATTTCCAGAGTACCTGCGAGCGTGCCGAGTTATTAGATTAATATTTTACAGACGTATTCCGTATTTGTTATGTCGCCCGCTAATACCAGGAATCGCGCAAATGCGACGTACAAATATAAACATAAAATATTTGTATAAGCGTATCGCGATACGCGCAGTTATTTTGATATCAGTAAAATAATAATAAAAGTGTAATAGATAGAAAAAACAATTCGTTTCTCTGCTGTGAGAGCAAACAAACGGATAGAAAATTTTCCGGAATACTAAAAAATACTTTATTTTTCCATTACATTGAGTGCAGCAGCTTCAATTTTCTAGATTAGGAAAATATAACTCCTCCCTCATATTATTCATCGCTTACCTCCACACATCCAGGTTTTAAATGACAATTCAAGATTCTCGCCACCCCAGATATCGAAGCCGCTGTCGTAAGTGCCGATCCGCTCGAAGAAGGCTCGATCTATCGAAAAGAGGCCGCCGGCCATCGTTGGCGACCAAACAGGTTCGGCCGGGTTTTTGTGCCTCTTTTTCTCCCTCTCCGGCACCGCGTGCCAATTAAACTTGTTAACAAACGTTAACGCACATCAAGAACTCGTTCGACGGACAAACTTCCGCGATTTTCATAAGCATAAATTATTATAAGTTCGTATAATTTTATGTGATAAAAAAATTATAACGCGAATCACATTTTCCAGGAAAACAAACTTTTTTTCTTTCTTGTTTTCGTGTTTTCTAAAAGTTGAAAAAAATGTGCACTTTATAAAGTATAATCTTACAAATTGCAAATCTAGACGCTGATTCTTTTTCTGGACAGATAATTAATGGGATGTCGCGCTGTCACATGCAAATTCAATTACATTCCGCAAAGACAGATATATATTCGCTGTCGTTCCGATCTCGCGGGAACGGCGTGAAGATTTCGTTTACCTGAAGATTCCAATCGAATCCGCCGACATTTACGCCGCCCGAATCGCGCCAGTGGTATTCCAGGGTGGTGTCGTCTATAACATCGATCACCGGACAAACTACCGTCGTCGGATCGCGTGCGATCCGATCCAGAAGAGGCTCCAGCCAGCCCTCCGTGCACTCGCAATGGCTGTCCAAATACGTGAGCACCGGAGCTTTGGCCGCCGCGGCGCCCAACAGGCGTGCCCTAATAAGGCCCTCCCGTTTATTCGCCCTTATGATCCTCACCTTCGGATAATTCATCATATAGTCCTCCAGCTGACGCTTCAGGTGGGCTGCGGGAATAATCGATTTTTTTTTCCTCTTGTCATTCGCCATTTCACGCAAAGCAGTACGTCGCGTTAATAAAACACTACGGCGTATGTTGTCGAGATAATTAATTAAAGTATGTTATTTTATATTCCACTAGCTTAATTATTTTCGCATCTATCTTTCCACATTACGCTCTTTTTCTTTGTATTATTAAATTCATCAAGTATAGAGCATTTTTCACATTATCTTTTCCTAATTAAAAAGTATTTGATGTACTTTTTGGAGAGAGAAAAAATGTCGGCTTCCATTATGTTACATAATTCGCGGCATAAGCTCGTAATACACGTCGCAGCATTATTGACGAGAAACTCTCACTCTACAATATACAGGATTCGTTCGAATATTAATTTTGCAGAATCCGCGCGGATTTTCTCTCGATACTGTTGTTTGCTAAATTCCCGCCGATTTGGAACATAAGTTGCCCGCAGGATCTATGCTTCGGCGAAGGATATTGCATCGATAAAGCCGCGAATGCGCCTGTTTCTCCAGGTTTCTCGAACGCCGATTACGTTCTTAACGTCAGATTACGGCTTATTTACGATGTCATTCGCAAGCTGTTGCGGTAACAACAATCACGCCTCCCGTCCTGGATCTATTTTCCGACCACAATCAATTTAATCGTATGCAGACAGAAACATCCCGCAGAACGGCGTTTTCTCCGTATTTATCCGTAATATTAACATTTTATCGCCGACCTAATAAAACAGTAGCTATGGTCACCGCTTATATTATAGTTTCAATAGAGATTGTGCACGGTAAAGTGCCAGACCGACCCGTAATCCGCCATTAGTGTATCTTGAGTAATGATCGAACGTAAGGAGGGATATGGCTCGCGAAATTTACATGTAAAGCTTGTTTATCGAAAATATAGATTACTCCATTTAGCCGTAATGAGTATTAATATTGCTACTGGTAATTTGCCAGTAGCAATTTGCCACTGCTATCAGATTGAGAGAAAACTTAACGCAACTTTATTACCATTTTATCACCCTTTTCTTAAATCTTCACTCCGTTAGAATGTGTAAGTTCTGGTGGAAACATGATTTCATATAGACACCATCTCCGTTAAAAGATTTAGCGCCACTTTAGCGGATGTTTCGGGATCGCGATCTGTTATTTCGCATTACTTCTCGCAATCGTGGGCGAGATTTAGATTTATGACGCGTATCCGCCTATAGTTACGGGTCGCCGGGCAGCAATTAGCAGACATTCGTGATTTATTCTCCGTTAGGATGGCTTTATGAGGGACCGCGCCACTAATCCTAAGCCTCCGCCCTGTAAACTCGGTTAACTATAGATAGTATAAAGGGATTCTACGGATCAGCGTGTTTCGTGCAGGCGCAATGATTACCGAGCGGTACACGCTGTGTTAGTTGGAAACGATAGAGACGTCTGCCCGATTTTATGCATCCCTCCCCCCCCCCCTTTTCTGATGGGTTGCGGCGCTTGATGAGCTTTAATAGAAACCCGGTAGTACTCGACGTACTTCGGTTTCTATCTCGCTTATCCCGGCTAGGAATCTCGTATCGATTCGCGAAAAGAATTCCTCCTCGTCGCTGCTAAGGCAGGAAAAATACAGAGGGTTATTGTACGGATCGCGCTGGCATCGTGGCAAATTGGGAAAATATTTCTCTCGGATGTACGTCGATCTTTGTTGAACGAGGCTCGTTAACCGTACTCGAATGGAAAGGGAACAAACCGTAAGAGGTCGGAGATCAGACATTTAATGCGCACGCAACTGGCGCGCGTGGATTCCGCGCGCATTCCGACTTGAATTAATTTCTAACGAATTCCTCGAACACAGAGGCACGCACAAGCCGGCCGTGACCATTATTGAAAATTTCATTATGACTTTGCCGAGTGCACTATGAGGCGCAGATAATGGAAACGTTCAAAGAGCACCAGTCTGTCGCCGTCGAGAGCGCTCATAATTAACTCCGTAATCCCCGTCGCCAATCCCCGGTATAAAAGCTAATTATCGTGCGTGTGTTTTGCCGAGGAGGACTAAAGCCCGCGCTGTGAAATTCATTACAACTTTCTTGTCGACTTTATTAATTATTGAATTCATTTTAATCCGCTCTATGCCGGAGAGAATATATTTCTTTTCCAGATTGATTTAAAAATTATCACAATATTGCAGTATATTTTATGTATATCGAAATGTAGTTTGAAAAAGTGATGTAAAAATAATCAGAAAAATTAAGTCTATAAAATTTGAATTTATTAATTATTGAATTTATTTTAATCCGCTCTGCGCTGGAGAGAATACGACTTTTTTCAAATATATTAAAAAATAAATATATGATACTGCGGTATAATAAAAAGAAAAAGCATACGATAAAGTGTGACGTAGATGACGAGGAAATGATTACAACTATCAACATCTCTCATGAATTATGGTAGAATTGCCGTGGGATGTAATCTTAAATTAAAATCGTACATAGATCTCCGTTTATTGTTTGCGTTTCCGAGCTGATTTCGCGCTATGAAAAGAAAAAGTGTATGTGACGTGCAGTGGTACGATCTCGTTTCTGTGATAAAGTAATCAGTTGCCTGTTAATAGCGCACACCAAGCTGGCCAGGAGATCGCTGAAGCAAGTGACTATGTTTATAGGTTTAACTTCCGGCCGGAACGAAGAGGGGCTTATCTCCAGCTTTTAATAGGGATCGCCAGCAACCAGCCCGGCTATACTGTTTCCGTCACGTCGCGTTTTCCTGAGCCCCGGCTTAATCTCGAACATTCTTTTTTGTTTTTAGGATTTTTATACTCATCCGCCTTTATTATGCAGTAGGATTTCGCGCGATTTGAATTGTCTTTTCACTTAGTAGTGATAATTAAATTAAAGAGTGATGTGGTATTCTCAATGTGAAAATGTGTAATCGCGAAATTCCAAAATTGTTTCCAAATTGATTTGGATATATGTATTGATAGCGCATGTTTTCAAATATAATTTTTGCAAATAAATAATTTTACTTGTTTGTAAATAACTACAGATTGTTCTGGGTAACCTTGCTTTTAGTTTTACTAAATTTATAATTTAGATTTCGATTTAGTAACCGTTGTATAAACGTCAGTTTATTCGAAAAACATGTAGATTGGAGCTCTAATTGCCTTTCCGCACCCAAACAATGCGTATGGGCATACATATTTGTTTCGCCCGCATTCGCAAAATTGGGTGCCTGATATACTTCTATCAGCCTTGCGTATAAATGCCTTTAGGCGAAAAACATTCCAGTAGATGAACGTGAAATAAATAATTAGTTTTTCAGATTAACAAAAATGTGAAAACCGATAATTGACGATTACTTTTTCGGCAAAAACATATAAAACGTCGACTTTTATATTCTAAAACGTTAATCGTCAAAAATATAAGAATTTAAAAAAAAAATCTCCTTGAAAGCAAAATTTGTAAATTTATCATGTAGATAGAACGTGTCCACGGTCGACTTTGGGAAACGAGAATATACGGAAATGTTAAACCTAGTCGAGTCGCAGAGATTGTATGGACCTCTCGTAATTTTCTGGGCGTCGTCTGTAGAGCAGGTCCAGAGAGAGTTTCCCTTCTATTCACGTCGTAGCGATACAGTGGTGAGATGGATCGCAATTAATCGATCTATCGCGAAACTACGGAACACTGTCGCGATAACGAATCACCGTACTGAATGGAGACGCGGTTGCACGAGCAAGTACGCGAATATAATAGCCCGCGGTTTCTGTTCGTTCTGTGCTTACGAGTTTCCCCGACGTTCTACCGAGGATTTTTCATCGCTCAGCGATGAGATTTATGACGCTGCGGAGGCGATATGCTATTCCGCTTCGATCGCGCATAAAAGGTATTCCGTTTTGAATCCGAAGTACGTGTGCAGTTCTGATGATAACGCGGGAATAACTTGTTCAACTTTACGAAAGAAATCTTTCAAATATTTGCATATTACATATACAGCATTATAAATGTAATTTTTACTTTTTTTAATAAACATTCGTATATAGACCTCATTTTCATTGTCAAGAATAAAGTTGGAACAAAAATAATTTCAAAAGGTAGTGTCTATATATTTTGTACTGCCGCGGTTTGATTAGATTTTTGAAAATAATTATTATAGTGCTTTGTTAAATTGTTATTTTCAAATGAAAAAATTGTAACTCACGCATATCGGAGAAGTCGTCGACGAGGATGATCTCTTGTATGAGACTCTCCGGCGATCTATCCAGCACGGAATGCACAGTACGTAACAATACGGACCAAGCTTCGTTGTGGAAACAGATAATTACCGCTGTGGGCGGAAGGTCCTTCAAATATCTGCCAGACTCCTTACACCTGTAACACATTAGTAAACAGCCGTTAAGTAAACTGTTAATAATTATTAATAATGGAGAACAGGAGAAACATTATCAAACATATACTTGACGTATAAAAATGACGAGCAAAGTGAAATTTTTTGCCAATGAAGTTAGCTTTGATAGTGGATTGCACGATTGTTTGCAGAGCAAACGTGTGCACGGTATATTATAGCGCAGTCGAATCAAGTTCTTGATCTGCGGACCGCAACGGGGATGATTACGCGGAACCGATACGTACCAGAAGATATGTCAGGAAAATATAGTAATACGATTAGGGCGGAGAATGTTTGCAGACCAAACGCCCACGAGGTGTATATTCGCCCGAAGCTTACCGCAAAATGAATTCCAGGGGTGCGGGATTGCGACTTCCCGGACCTGGCTAATGCCACGGAACACAGGGCGGATCGCGGAACGTCACGGTTTATGGATACAGCAAATAAAAGTTTCCACGTTGCCTTCCTTACCTCCTCGGATATGCGTGAGAGTGCTCGTGTCTCTGTTTATTAACGTGAACTTCTTTCAAATATACGCAATCGTACATTCATTTATTCGACATTTATGTTACAGTCAAGATTTCATTATCCCACAATGTGTGTTCGATACATAAATACACGTCCCGTTTTAAAACGAATATCTTCGTAATGAATACGCGTGTTTCATTCATGAGATGATTATCATACATTAATGTGGAGTATTCGTTTGCAATTAACGCATTAAACTGCAGCCGAGTGTGCGAACATTGTATATGTTACAATCGTGATGTACGCTAATGAAGCGATTACGAGAAGTGCCATTTCAATAGTGGCTATTACTCTAATTACCGTCTGCGAATTATTTCAATTAACAGATGCCGGCGTACGCTGCACTATGAGGGCACTGTGTTTGCCGAATTTCCGATTTATTCATCCATGGCGCACCAGGGCGAGTATCTCTCTACTCATAGATGAAATCCCTTCATAATCAGTTTCCATTTCGGATTAGATGCGTTTGTATTCGATCAAACATAAAGTTTAACGTAGCTGCATCTACGTAAACGTCTTCCCATTGACGTTGCGAATAGCGCGGAGAATGTAAAGATAACAGATATCGATTTAACGTGAGAAACAGTTAAGAGAATGGTATAATGGATAACATAGTTAAACAGCGGAATTGCAAACAATAATAAACCAAGTGGAGCGAAATGAAGGAGGAATTATCAAATTGTCGAGCCCTTCATTGTGTAGTGAATGCAGTCTGATTGTGGACATAAAGATATTTTGGAAACAAAGGTTTGCAACGGGGAATTATAGGATAAAACGATATCAATTCATTCGACGTCGATGCAGCATATAGAAGCGACATGAAACAAATATCTCGCATTGTTTCCGTTATCATATAGTTGCACGTTTATACAAAACAAACGTTTAATAAATTCCAAATAAAAAAAGATAGTAGGTGACATTATGTCGCGGTGTTGATTTGCGCAAAAATAATCGCCGATATTTGAGCACAAATTTATTTCCATTCAATTTCCATTCACACTTTGACGATTTTGCGAAAAATTGTTGTTACCAGCGCAATAATATGTGCACTACGACAAGAATATCACGTGATAAATAAGTAACAATTTTTATGTCATCGCGGCGATGAGCGTACTGAAATAACGGGGGACGTTTTCATAGCAGTCAGACTTTCATATCTCAAGTGGTTGCTGCACTATCTAATGCTATAAATTCGTAAAGATAGCACGATACGTCATATTCAATTAAGATGGAAAGCGATTAAACAGAGATTTAATACGATTAGCAAAGTTAGAAGTATCTACCTCAGAAAATGTGATTCGCGTTATTTTGGCGCAGACACAATCGATCAAATATTCAATATTTGTTTCTTCCTTTATCTCATTTATCAATTTAGCTTGATATTATTAATATTCAGATTTATTATTAATCATTTTAGTATATAATAATAGCGTAAAATATGTATGCTTCCTCTTGATACGTAATATTAATAACATTACTTAATAATAATATTACCTATTAATAATATTATTTTACGCTTTGATTGAATTGCTTTGATCGTTTTGTTAGCTCTGCTGAACATTCTTTTTTTGTTTCTCTTTTCCTTTCTTTATTTATAATATCTTCATAAACATTACTTTTTTTCCAATTTTTCACAATTTTATTGTCTTATTTCGTATAATGCTGTGTCACACTTTATAGTTCTACGAGCAAATTAAAGAAAATGCAGTTTGTGAAAATACATATATTTTGAACGTTATGCAACATTAAGTTACTTTCACAATACAATATTAAAAAAAGAAAAATGTTTTGCATTGATGCGGAATTCATTATTAAATTTAATGTATTTATATTTCATTTGTTATGCAGCCGATAACTCTCTTCATTAAGTTCATTATTCTTTTTAATAAACTGAATAATTTAACCCACGAGAATTAAATATAAATATTATTTGCGAATGAAAAAAGTATTCCATAATTCAAATAAGGCTCCTTTTTATTAAAAAATGGACTATTTTATATCTTTGCAAAGTATAAAATGCAAAGTATGCACATACCTGTCGAAAAAAGCATATACATATAGCATAAGCACCTGCGGAACACAAAACATAAAAAAATCTGTTTTTGGCGCATGTTGTTACATCGATTTTTCGCCGAGTTATGCCGCTTTGAAAATCCGACGTGCGTGCCATATGTGAATCAACGTGAAGCATATATATGCGAACGCGTATAGCGCGCGTAACAGTTACGTAATTATTACGGTACTACGGACCAGATGATCAGCTGCTGACCTAGCAAGGTCGAGCGAGGTATACGCGACCTTGCTTCGTCGGCTCCGCCCTAGATCGGGATCGCTTGGGATGCAATCATTGCGGATTGATCATAATCTTCAATATCGTAGCAAAATCCTTGTAGAACTCAGAAACGAGAATATTACAGCACTTGCAAGTTATTTTACTTGAACGTTGATATATGGCATTTCTGATTAATTATTGATCTTTCTAATTTAAATAAAGAAATGGTCTAGAATTCTAAAATATAAAATTTCAATGCATCGCAGTAAAGTTCTACCTACCAAATGACATGATGTAAGATTTTAAACGATAAAAGTGAATAAAAAGTATATTTTAACATTCTAGACTATTTTATTTTGTTTAAAATATAAGATCAATACATTGTAGTGAAGAAAATGTAAATTCTAAACTGCTACCAATTTTTATAGTATATAAAATTTCAATGTCTAATGATAAATAAAATGTATATTGTAATATTTTAGGCTATTTATAAAATTCTAGACCAACCAAATATTGTCCTCTTTTAACATACGAATAGTCAAAATCTTCGTAATTACAGTCGCTCGTGATATATCGTAATTATTAAAATAAATAACAAGTGTTTATGTGATTCTAATAATATTGCAAACTGAAATAAATAATTCCACGAAAGTAAACTAAATAAAAATGTGTATTAAAAATCTAATAAGAGGTTATTGATTTTTTAAATATTATATGAGGTGATATTGTATCAATATACATCATGTTTTCTACATTGTTAATCGCATCTGATGCATGCGTCAGATAAGCTTTCGGCTAGAAAAGCAAAAGGAGCTTGCGAATGTACGAGCTGAATCAACGCTATTTGCATTTGCATTCCTCTGGCGTTCCGCATTAGTTTGTGTACTCAATTTTAGCGGCAAAGCTGAAATTCTCATTTCCAAATGCGGAGAGCACTGCGTTTTTAATTTCCAACATTGTCCGTGATAAATCTCGCAGTAATAACGGCTTCCGCGGAGAAAATTCTGCTCGCAGTTTGTCATTATTATCGCACATAATTCTTGCAGCAATAACAGGCTTCTTAATCCTCTTTTCTATAAGTCATTTTTAATCCCTTTTATGAACAACGACGTTCGTTAAGTTATGACATTAATGTAACTTGATATAATTAACATAACTTATATTTGAAAATTATAATAGTCAATATAACTGCTCGCAAACGATGTTTTAATATAAAATTACTTTGACCTGTTAAAAAAAAAATCTCCAATGCCGAATGAATATATTATTAAATCAACACTATCAAATTAATTTAATCAACATATAGAATTAATTTATAATCTGACCGATAATCAATAATTCCATGTGTATATAAAATTATAAAGATCCAAGATAAAATAAGTGTTAAATAATATATCATCAATTTAATAGAATAAATTATTCTATACTATCTAAACGAAGAGAAAGAGAGAGAGAAAGAGAAAGAGAGAGAGAGAGAGAGAGAGAGAGAGAGAGAGAGAGAGAAAGAGAACGAGTTTACTTATCAGTGCGTATTTATGCTGCTCGGGCAGCTCGAAAGTAAATCATAGCAATATCGTTACAGTCGTATTAATATCGCGAGCGCGCGCGCGGCCGCGAATATAAATCGCGTGAGCGGCGGCACGGCTCGAACAAAGTGGGAAATCGCTTAAGCCAGTAAACGCATCGATCGTTTCTAGTCGATTGACGTTCAACAGCGATATCCTCTTTCCCGTCGACAAAAGAGACTCCATTGTTGGACGGCACTCCGGGATGGGTACCTCGAAATCAGCCACGGATATCGAATGAGAAGCGGCTCCTTCGCGCGCGTTCAGCACATTCGGCGATCACCCTTACTTCCCTCCTCCTCCCCCCACGTCTACCCACGTATCACCGCCTTCATCCCCCGTCATCCCAATCGCCTAAACCCCGCGAGACGTTGCACTCGATCAAACGCGTCACGTTTCATACTGCATCCCACCGTCGCGGGGCTCGCATCCCGAATGCGTAGAATTCTATTTGCAAGTCTCTCCGCCGTAGGCATTTCGCCCGCGGGAATCTTGACTTCCCGAGTCGAAATTTAGCGTCTCTTTTAATGCTCATACAGCCTATATGAACCTATTTTTACGGAATTAGAACCTAGAACTCCTCTTTTAAAACTTGATCTCCTATAATTTGATGTTGAAA